AATCTCAGATACCTACAAAGACACTTCTGACCTGTCAGATAGGGTTGCTATGAGTTGGAATCCACTCAATGGTGATGATTTTGGTTTTGGGGTGAGAAAGTGGTGCAGTAGTTAAAATGCTTAGCCATTAACTGGAAGGTCTGATTTGAACCCACCCACCTTTCTGTCAGAGAAAGATGTGTAGTGGTCTGCTTCTGTAATAGTACAGCCTAAGAAACCCTACGGTGGCAGTTTCATTCTATCCAGTGGGGTTACTATGAGTTCAAATAAACTTGACAGCAAAAGGTTGTTTGTTTGTTAGAGATCATTTGGGCGATTATAAATTGGGAGACGTGCTGTGGATCTTTATGGATGTTGCAAAGCATCCTATAGTACACATGAAAGCCCCCACAATAAGGAATTATCTGCCTCGGAATATCAGTTAGTGCTGAGTTTGAGAAACCTTGCAATACGTTATAATGCCTAATTTAATGTTAATTCCCCAGTAATGAGTAATGAGCATAGTAAGAAAGAAATGATTTTCTTAGGGAAAACTACCTTACGAAGTAATAACTTAAAATTGAGCTCTCATTCTTCATCCTATAGTTTTAATTTGTGCTAATCTAGAATATAAGATTTCAAATGCTTAAATGGAATTTTATGTCTAGAGAAAATTAGTAAAATGTTCATTTAAAAGCATAACTTAGCATTTAGTACATTGCCAGATAAGATATATTTTTGAGAGTATTAGCATAGCTAATACAATGTCTTTGAATTTGAGAAGCATATAATTCTCCCCCATAGAGTTTCTTCTTTACTACCTGATTTAAGCTAATACTATATTTAGATCTTAGTCCGTCTCCCCATATCTTGTGAGGTAGTGTCGAAGGCATTCCAGGTGTTTTGCAGCATTGGTTAAAACTGTCCCCAGATAATCAGTTTTCATAGCATAAGCAACACCTAATTTGATCATCTGCTTCCAGGTTATGGGGCTCAAGCTCCTGTCTTCCATAGATGGCAAATGGAATGAGTTGAAAAGAGAATTTCTTGGGGCAGTTGCCTGCAAACAATGTGCTAGGTATCCCCAGGGAGAGAGAGAGCTCCCACACCCACCCTGCCCTGAGACGGGACAAATGCCCGAAGGCCAAACCCAGTGTCTGAAAGACCCTGGAAAAGAGCCCCTCTCCGGCTTTGATCAGAAACAAAAGCAGGACTGGCAACCCTTCCTACATCGTTAGTGGTAAATGAAAATTGATGTTCATAGTAAGAATCCTGAAATTACTTTCTTAATCAAGAAAATAATAAACTCTGGCTTATGATTCTAATTATTTCCTTATATTTACCATAAAGTGATTTACTTTACGTAAGCATGAATTATCCTCGGACATCCAAGGTCCCTGGCACAAGCACCACACCTCAGCCGAAAAGCCTACTAACTTGCTTCCAAAAAGATTAGAGCCAGGGAAACCCTATGGAGCTGTTCTACCTCGTAACGCACGGGGTCAGCAGGAGTCAGGTGACCCCATGTGTTAAACCAGGTGGGGAGTTCTTGTTTATCTGAACCCTCCAATGCTGTGCTCAGAAGTCCGTGTTTTCCGTTCCAGGACATGGGAAGAAGGCCAGGTCCTCATCTTTGACGATTCCTTTGAGCACGAGGTATGGCAGGATGCCTCATCGTTCCGGCTGATCTTCATAGTGGATGTGTGGCATCCAGAGCTGACACCCCAGCAGAGGCACAGCCTTCCTGCAATTTAGGCTGTCTTTTTTGTTTTTAATCATTTTATTAGGGGCTCATACACCTCTTATCACAATCCATACACACATCAATTGTGTAAAGCGCATTTGTACATTCATTGCCCTCATCATTCTCAAAACATTTCCTCTCCACTTAAGCCCCCAGCATTAGGTCCTCATTTTTCCCCTCCCTCCCCGCTCCCCCCTCCCTCATGAGCCCTTGATAGTTTATAAATTGGTATTTTGTCATGTCTTGCCCTGTGCGACGTCTCCCTTCACCCACTTTTCTGTTGTCCGTCCCCCAGGGAGGAGGTCACATATAGTGACCGATTCCTTGTAATCGGTTCCCTCTTTCCAACCCACTTTCCCTCTACCCTCCCAGTATCGCCACTCTCAGGACTGGTCCTGAAGGGATTTAGGCTGCCTTGCAAGCACAGGACTCACTGGAAAGAGGCTGTCTCTCTGGTTCTGTCTCCTTGGGTGCAGGGAGAGAAGTTGGAACACCGAGGCTCTAAATTCCCTTTACTTGAAGCTTGAACACTACTAAGCTTCTTCATAAAGCTAGAAGACACTAAAGGCAATCATTGCCTACCTTCAGCTTATATAGGAAGTGCCTGGCTGTATTGCATCCCCTGACAGCACAAGTGTGAGGCTCATATATAAGGTGAATATGAATATATACGATAGGGTATACCTTACCAGCAACATATTTTGTTGTTTTTATGTAGAAGGGTCTAATTTGATTATAATGAGACTATATGTAGAAATTGTGGGTGGAGATCTGTAGTTGTAATTTTTCTATGCATTTATATTTTTATAAGGTAGCTAGGATATTTTGTCACCTTACACAATTATTTTTTTATAGATTATTTTAATAGAAAGCTGTGAACAGGCTTTATGGCTAGCTATTTACTTATGGCTTCCCTTACAAACATCCACTTTCCTCTTTTAATTCTTCTTAGTAAAAGACATTTATGCAAATTCTCCCACATGAAGGGCCAAGGTATTATTATGCAAATGTCTATGAACTGTGATGATGATTCTGCCCCATAAGTGTTGTTTTGTTGTCTTCATTAAGAGTGGGTATTCTAATTAATTGATGCTTTTACTGTGCTAATGGAAAATATAATTTTCTGATCTCTAATAGGAATTTTCACACAGGGAAATAACATGGGATCATTTTATATTAAGCTATAAAAATGTCACATATAAATGTTTTAATACCAAGTATTAGAAGGAAAGGAAAAAAGTAGAATTTATTAAAATAAAAAACCCCTCTGAGGATCAAGTAGATAAGAGGCTGCTAGGGTATCAGGCTTCTCTGCCATCTATTAGACCATGAATTCAGAGTGCCACTGCATACTGTAGATGTATATAAGCGACACCCCCCCAAAAAAAAAAAAAAAGCCGTGTGATGCTTCAGGGGGCCTACTAAATACCAGTTCTTTGCGGCTTAAGGATGGCAGAGTAGAAGAGGAACAAAAAGGATGCTGGAATCTTTGTCCTGGGTGCAGGCAGGATGTAGGGATAGCTTTTGTCTTTGGAAGACTCTTGGAAGAGTTTGAAAGACTCTTCCATCTCTCTGGCTTGAGAAATGTATGCCATTTAAACATTGACACTTTGAAATAGCAATTATTATCTATAGTTTAGTTTTAATATTGAATGTAGAACATAGAAATATGATACAGTACACAACATAAGCATAATAGTTGAAAAATGGTCTTGTCTACTCATTCAAAAGATGATCAAGTTACTAATTTAATAAGTGTGAACTCATATTTTAAAAAGAAATCGAAATGGTAGCTATATGAATGTAGTGATACTCACATGGAACTCCAAGCCAATGTGAAGAAAAATGCTGAGGAAATGACGCATTGCCATATTTCATTCACAAGTTGAGACACAATTGTGCTTTCTTTTCAATCCAAGAACAAAGGACACATTCTTTCTCCTTAAAAATAAATAAAAATAGATGGAAATTCACACTTTTGGCTTGACCTTAAGGATGTTTGTTTGAGAATTTGTAAAATATTTGCCCAGTTCCCTTTTAGATGTTCAAAAAAATCCCACTAAGAGATAATGTTGAGAAGAAAAATGTCAAAATGAATCATCAACGTCCAGAAAAAAAAGCAAACTCTGGGTTAAAAGGTATTTGTGTACTTGAATATTTGTGTACCTGAATATTTATTGACCAGAGGGAGTTACTGGACCAAGAACATACAATCCAATGCTTGTGTTGTAACATTTGTGTCACTTACTGAATTTGGTTTTTATATGTATATTGCATATACAGAAAGAACATTGTAACCTTAAATTTTCATCATTGAGCATCAATTTGTATCCATTTATAGAAATTATGGAATAGAATAAGATGCATTAACTTAGTAAATTTAATATGGTATTTAAAATGGGTCACTACAGTGGGATTCTAAGTATTGCCATTTGAAGTGCCCCAATTATTAGCACTGCAAGGTGTTGGCACTAGTTGATTTCAACAGTATTTTAAATAACCCGATCCAACTATTTTATAAACTCATAATGAATTTTTAATTTCATTTTAATACTTTTTTCTTCCATAAGCCATTGTATATAATAAAAGTATTTTAGTTATTGCATTGATAGCATCACTTCAGTATTATTTTGTGATTTGAAATGTCTCTCTTTTAAAAAAAAAACAAACTTCATTGCCATATCGTTAATTCTGACATAAAGCAACCCTACAGGACAGTGGAAAGCTTCATCTTTCTCCCTTGGAGTGGCTACTGTTTTTAAACTGCTGACCTTGCAGTTAGCAGCCCAACGAGTAGCCCACTAGTCTACCAACAAGGTTCCTTTGAAACGTCTACATTGTGTGTGTGAAAGTGGCTACACAAGATGAATTAGTTTTATTTGTACATCGAAACAATTGCTTATTGTATTTTGAATTATCCTTCAATTGTATTTCTTCAAGGACATATTGCCTATTGAAATATGAAAATTGTTTCTGTTATTCTCTAACAATAGAAAAAGATGAAATATTAGATCCATTGAGAAAGTAAATGCTTATGATTAGTAATAATACTGGGGGAGACTATGACCAATTAAGTCACCTCTTTGAATTTTTTAGCTAACCATTCCCATATATACTGTATATAAAATTTAGAAATCATATCTTACTGCCCATTAACTTTAAAAAAATGTCATTGAGCAATACCTTGTAATACCAATAAATGTCCTTGCCGTGCAAATGGATGATATAAAAAACTATACAACTGGTTTTTGAAAACACGGCACAAGTAATGACATCATAACCTATGATACCTGTTTATTTTTAATCTAATTTCTTTTGAATGAGTAGTGGAGACACCACTTCTAAGGAGAATAAAGAAATAAAATTATCTTTGGCATTTCATCCTGCGCTCCTAGTCTTATTTTCACTACTTTTTTATGTATCGATTCCTTTCAGAGTACACCGTGATTGAATATTTACACTCAGCAACAGCAACCCTTTTCTCCACATATTTAACTAGTTGCAAGAGGGCTGGGGTTAAGTGGTTTGGTAGCTCTTTCTTTTGCTACAGTGGTGCCTCAAGTGTTATAATTTAAGTAGAATCATTTGTTCATTTGTCACTGAACAAATGTGTTTTCAATTAAATTCTCATCTCTGCAAACACATTCTGGAATAATGGGTTCTTGGGAAGCCTGTGTGAAACCACACTATTAAGATGAAGTAATCCCTATTTCAGATTGCGGGTATCTATTGTTAAAGTCAGCTTATTATAGTAAGTTGGTATAGCCTAGTAAATGATATGTAAAAATCACTTTGCAGGATCAAAGTCTGCAAATAGCCCAAGCTATGAGAACATACAAGCTGGATAATTTGATGCTAGTGATGAGGTCAGAGAAAATATTCAATAATAAAATTATCAGCAAAGCCATGGTCTTGGGGCTTTGCACTAAATTAAACTTGGCAATTGTGCCTGCACAATTTCATTCAGATGTGTAGACTTGAAAATGCACTTAATCTGATTAGCAAATTCTGGAGAGAGGCTCTTTGTGCAGTGTGTCCGGAGAGTCCTAATGTAGAGTATGCAACAAAATGTAGTCTTCTTTTTCAGTTCACTTAATAGCAGAAAAAGGGAAGGAGGGGACTCTTGGTTCATCCTCCAATCCGTCTGGAAAAGAGCATCTCTCAAGTCTTTACTCAGTTTTGGCATCTTGGACCGATGACTGATGACATTCATTCTCGGATGGCAGAGTGGAGGGTGTGAGTCAAGCTGGATGGCCGCAGGTGCGCTTCCTGGGTGGCGGGCGCCCTGAAGGCTGACGCAGGGGAGACCCTCTAGATGACTTGGGTTCAGTCCAGCGCCAGGAGTGGCTGGGTGTTCTCGCTCTCTCCCTTTTCCTCATGTTTCAGGGTCCCAGCTTCGACCACAGACTGAGACCTAGTAAAATGGGAGGGAAAAAGAAACCATTATAAACCATAGTAACAACCATTTGGGAAGTTTGGAGGTGTGCTTGATTGAAGAGTGCCCCACTCCAATTTATGCCCAGTCAGGTGATAAATTCTGCCCTCACCCCACAAATAAGTTAAAAGACCCAGGTACCTCTAAATATGGCCCTGATTGTAAATAGATGGTTCGTGATGTTAATGAGGGCATCCTAAGTAACACAGGTGGTATATCTTAAACCTAATCCCTTCTGAGTATTGTCTTTTTAAAAAAGTAGAATAAACGTAAGTGTATGTACACTGGGGGTAGACATGTCAATGCCAAGAAACTCGTAGGAAGGATCTGTCCTAGAACCAAAGCCCTCATTTGAACTTCTGTCCTCTCAAATTGAGACAATGACTTCCTGTATTTAAAACCACCCACTTATATTTTTGTTAGAGCAGCAGTGGGTAAAACCAATGATGTAGAGCCTGCGAATATGACTTTATTTCGCGGTAAAGTCTTCGAATACGCCATCAATTGTGAAGAGACCATATTCTGTTAGGGGGGCCCTAATCCAGTGACTGGTGACCACGTAAAAGGAGGGCATTGGTCACAGATACCAACAGGTGAAGATGGCCACATGAAGACAGAGATTGGAGTTATGCTACCACAAATCAAGGAATGCCAACTGCTACAAACTACTAGAAGTGAGATAAGATTCTTTCTTAGAGCCTTCAAAGAAAGCATGGCCCTGCCAATATTGGTTTCAGGCTTTTAGAAATATGAGGCAGTACACATTTCTGTTATATTATGCCACCATTTGTGGTACTTTGTCCTGTAGCCCTGAAACTAATTCAAAGGGAAGTCAGATTTTATACACCACTCTGCTTTTTAACCAAGACACACAAAACAACCACATATACTGTATATACTCAAGTATAAGCTGACCCGAATATCCACTGAGGCACCTAATTTTACCATGAAAACTGCATTAAAAATGTGCTAAACATATACAGCCACAGTGGTCAGAATCAGATGGTATTGGTATAATGGCAGGCCAATGGAAAAACTTGAAAACTCAGAAATAAAATCATCAGCATACAGAAAACATCTTTGATAAGGGTCACACACACAAAAAAAATCCAATGGGAACCAGATGCACTCTTCAACAAGTGGTCCTGGAAAAAATGGATATCTGCTTACAGAAAAGTGAAGCAAGACCCTTATCTCACTCCATGCACTAGAATAAACTCAAGGTGGATCACGGACCTCGAACTCCAAACTATTAGAATCATCAATGAGGGAATTGGGACAAACCTGAGAACTTTGGCATAGGGAATGCATAGGCTATCAGAAATAAGGAAGGACACAAACAGATAAGTCACAAATTGATAAGTGGGATATACTGAAGATAAAAATCTGTGTACATCGAAAAAATTCACCAAGAAAGTAATAAGAGAATCCACCAACTGGGAGGAAACATCTTTAGCAATGACATATCAGACAAAGGCCTTATTACTAAAATCTACATAATGTGCTAGCTTCCAAAAAGAAAAAAACTACCCACTGAGGAGGTGGGCAACCGATCTGAACAGAAGTTTCACAGGGGCAGAAATCTGAATGGCCAATAAACATATGAGAAAATGTTCCTAATCATTAGCCATATGAGAAATGAAATTAAAATGAGATGCCACCTAACACCCAGTTCAAAAAACTAGAAAGCAACAAGTGTTGGAGGGGCTGTGGGGCAACTCTCATCCACTGCTGGTGGACCTGTAAGTATGTACAGCCACTATGGAAATCTATTTGGTGATATCTAAAACAGATGGAAATCGAGCTACCGTATGACCCAGCAACCCCCCTACTGGGCATATACCCAGAAGAGGCAAGAAACAAACCAAGGCCAGACATCTGTGCTCCAATGTTCATTGCGGCACAGTTCACAATCGCAAGGAGTTGGAAACAACCCACATTTCCATCAACGGATGAGTGCATTAAAAAACTGGTACATACATACAATGGAGTACTACCCTTCGCTAAAAAGCAGTGATGAACGAAGGAAGCACATTGCCACATGGGAAGAACTGGAGGAAATCATGCTAAGCAATGTAAGCCATGCACAAAAGGACAAGTACAACACGAGTCTGCTGAGGAAAGCTTAAAAAAACCAAACCAAACCGAATTTGACCAGTGGGGGGTATGGTGAATGGACCCCAGAGATCCCTGAGCAGCCCACCCCCTAGTTTCCATCACACCAGGCCCCAGTCACCACTTCTGCCACTCTGAGCAGCGAGGCCTGCTGGAGGGGACAAGGTCATCGCAACCAAGGTTTGGGGAACAGTGAAATGGTTCATTGTAAGAAACGGCTATGGTTTCATCAACAGGAATGACCACAAGGAAGATGTGTTGGTACACCTGACTGCCACAAAGAAGAAGAACCCCAGGAAGTCCCGTCGCAGTGCAGGAGATGGCAAGTAGGTGGGGTTTGATGTTGAAGGGGTAAGGGCGCGAGGCCGCAGATGCTGCAAGTGCCGTGGCGTTCAGTGGAAGCATTAACTGTGCAGCAGACCGTAACCATCGTAGGTGTGGCCCGCGTCGCAGGGGCCCTCTGTGCAATTACCAGCAGAATTCCCAGAACAGTGAGAGTGGGGAAAAGAAGGAGGGATCGAAGAGCGCTCCCGAAGGCCAGACCCAAGCAGTGTCCGCCCTACCGCAGGCATGGTTCCCACCTTACTCTGTGTGGAGACCCTATGGGCATCGACCGCAGTAAGCCAGGCCTCCTGTGCAAGAAGTGATGGAGGGTGCTGACAACCAGGGTGCCGGAGAACAAGGTTGACCAGTGAGACAGAGTATGTATCGAGGTTATAGACCAAGATTTTGCAGGGGCCCTCCGCGCCACCTACAGCCTAGAGAGGATGGCAATGAAAAGGATAAGGAAATTCAAGATGAAACTCAAGGTCAGCAGCCACCTCAACGTAGGTAGCATCCAACTTCAGTTACCAACAGAGACACTCAGATAACCCTACCACAAAATAGCAAAGAGACAAAAGCAGCTTAACCACCCCAGCTGAGAATTCGTCCGCTCCTGAGGCTGACCAGGGTGGGGCTGAGTACATGCAGCTTCCCACCTATACCATCATCCGGTTTAGTCATCCAACAAGAAGAAATGTGAATATGACATTTCAGCAATAAGAAATGAACATAAGATTGGAGCTGAAGACCTTAAGTGCTTGCCTTTTGCCCATTGACTAGGTAACTAGAACTATCTGCATTATCTCTGCAGCATGGGGTTTTTATTGTTTTTTACCTAAGCAATACCATTACTTTTTGATCATGACATACGTGTTTTATTAAAAGTCTGGTTTTTCTCAATACACCTTTGAAGGTTTTTAAATTGTTTCATATCTGGTCAAGTTGAGATTTTTAAGAACCTCATTTTTAATTTGTAATAAAAGT